GCCACACAAAGCAATAGCGCAGCACAAATCCTTGGCCAGGCCGCACTGTAAAATTATGAGAATTCAGACACGTTCCAAACTTGACTTCATCAAGTCGAGCCCTGGCATGCACTTTTCATTCGTTTTCCATAACTTTCTACACTGCCCTTATCGCCTGGACTCTTAAAGACTGCCTGGCAAAAGCAGCTTCTCGTTATTGTCATTGATGGTTTTGATTTTCTCCCTTTCTGCTTGATGGCACACGCCCAATCTTCCCAACAAATTCTGGTGAGTGCGAGCGCAAAAAGTTCTGCATGTTACATTTTTTGGCTAGTGTACCAGTACCAGGCCTGAAACAAGATGAACAAGATGGTGATGGGGCACAAAAAGAAGATGCAAAGAAAATGTCTTGCCCGCACGCTTTGCCACTTGGCAAAACAATGCACTTTTGGCAAGGGGCATTGCTCTTGGCAGTGAACTCTCAGCAAGCGACTGCACCTTGTTGCAATTGAGCACAAATGCGACAGGCTTCATGTCAATGAGACAATTGACCCACAGTCATCAAGCCTGTGTTCGCAGTGGTGTATGGAAAGCAGCTTTCAACATCAATCTTCAAATCAAACTGAAAAGAAACCAACTCCGATAACTCTGAACTCTCCATCTTTTGGCAGCTTTCAGTTGATGCTTGGGAGGCTTGGGAATGCTTCGGAATGCTGAGAATATCGTAGGAACCTGTGCCTCCAAAAAAATGAAGACAAACCTGAGCGTATGTCCTTGAAGATCTTGAAGGCCCTTAAAGCTTTGACACCGAGGCACTACCTGTACCCTGGCTTCTCTGGCTGCAAGAAGCTGTGGCTGCAGAAATATTTGCTGCGATTCGACGTGCTGCGGTTTGGTGCATTCGCCAGATTTGCAAGCGTGGAGCGCCTGATCAAAGAATTGTGCCTCATACCTCCCAAAGCCGGAAGGTCCAGGGATCTTTGCATGAACTAATTAGATTGAATTGAGCCTCTGGTTTTTGTGTGGTTGCACTTAGCCCAAAAGCAAGGGACTTTTGGCTTTTGACTGGTTTGAGAAACAATATATACACTTTGCCTTCAGGGTGCGTTTATCGATTTTATACGGTAATTAACTACATTTAAATATACGGATTTTAAAATATACGAACAAGTATTTTAGACTACCTCCGGGAAGGTTTTCCTTGGCCCGCCCGGCCATGTAAACATACGGAATGCAATTCATTTAAACATACTGTAACTACATTTAAATATACGAATTGGTATTTCATACTACCTCTGGGGCCTCGCTGTCTGGCCCGCCCTCCACATTTAACGCATTTAAAAAGTCGTTACCGTAGGTTCTAACACGCCTAGAATACCTCAAAGATTCCGTGGCTTTCCATTGACCTTGCAAAGAACTGAACTATCTGAACTGGATCCTAACAAATCCATGCCTCATCGCCGTGTCATAGTGCAATTGCGCTCGTTCCATGGATTCTTTTGTGATGCCTGCAGCGTAGCGCCTCGTCAAGGTACATTTAAATAGGGTTGATGCTTACGGCCAAATGCAAGACCCATTGGAACGTTTTGACATGCTGTTGCATGAGCCTTCAACATCATCGTTGCTTGGTTCTACGTTGAACCGTCTATAGTCTCATACACATGACACTTCATGACTGTCATAGCTGTCATGAGTTTCCTTGGACTCATGTAAGGCTTAAACGGGAAATGATGGGAACGTATTTCAAATACTGTATACTTGATGACAAAAACTAGCCGAGTTCAATTCATGCCTGCTTCTGCCTAAGATCTGCTGCTAGATTCTGTCAATCCCAGAATCTGCGCAAGACTTTGGCCCAGGCACTCAAGAAAACTCTCCATCTTCAAGGTAGCAACGTGATTAGATGGATCTGCATACCTTATCTGTTGTTTATTTATTCGGTGGATGTGACAGATCATCTGTCCTTGACTTGACAAACACTCTGGACGAGTGTGGACAACTGGACAACTCAGGTATGTTCAAAAGTCCATAGCAAGATATTGATTTCATACAAGCTGATACAGTAGACTCTCCGGAGCGTTCGTTTGAATTCAAACAATAATCATCCGTTGAAACGTGGGTGATAGTTCAGGAAAAATCACATCTATTTTAGAGAAACAAGGGGAAAAACAAGAAACCAAAACCAGTTAATCTCCCTTGCCTCAAAATCATGCAAACGCCCCCTTTTGCTATGGGACGCTTGAGCCAGGTAAATTACGTTAGGCTACTATGACCAACCCTGCTGGATTAAAGGAGGGGGTCAATTCCTAATCTATCTACATGGCTACACCTACAACTAACGCATCTAGTTGGAGGTTGCGTGGTGATTACGATGACTGTACAATCTATTAGAGTGTCGGTGTCATAGCTACAGTATGGAGTGAACTAATACTAGTATATACAGTGGTGGTATAGGGGTCGTAATATTTCTACTCCCCCCTACCCGGTCTAACGCTGGCAACTAGTATACAGGCTAGGGCGCTAGGTAGCTGCCCCTTCCCTGGATTTGAGTTCACTACCTAAATCTACGCGGATGCCAAGCAAGCGCAGTGCCGGGGCCCACTTTTGGGGTGGCGACGCCTTAGTAAAGATATCGGCGGCCTGACTGTCGGTCTGACAGTATTCGAGTTCGGCTGAGTCTTCGCGGAAGACTTCGGAAAGGCCAGATAAATTTACTTTATGGGTGCGAGTGATGTGCCTAAGCTTAGGGGAATAACCTTTACGCACTACCAGGATGGTGGCTTGGTTATCTTCTAAAACTTTAAGCGTCACGGTGCGCCCTAGGAGAAGCTCCCAGAGTTGCAGGGCCGGCAGGCCTTCTTGATAAAGGGAATAAGCCAAGGAAACCACTTCTGATTCTGTGGTAGAACGGGATGTGGATGTTTGGCGTTTGCTGACCCACGCAAGAGGGAAGAAGGAGTTAGGCCCATATAGAACTAAATATCCACCGGACGTGGATTTTCCACTAAGACGATCACCGGCGAAATCGGCGTCAACGTATAAACGTAACTCAAGATCTTCGGGATTATCTTTGATGGTACCCACTAGACGGTATTGGGGTGTAGAGTCTATGTATTGAATGAGTCTTAACAACCTCTTATCGTCCCCCCTGGACCAAGACTGCACTTTAGTGGCTAAATCGTTGATGGGGTTTATTATGTCAGGTCTGGACAGCCGACCAAGCCACAACGCCTTCATAAGAATGCGGCATGCATTGGGTGCCAGTTCGCCTTTAGCCTCTTCATCTTCAACAGAGACAGAACCGTCAGGTACAAAAGGAGTGGCAGCATGCTTCAAACTTTTGGTGTTGGTGATGGACTTGTAAAGGTCAACTGTTTGGTGTGCATAATCTAGCATGTCAAAGACTAAGGCTTTTTGTGCGCGAAACGCAGCACATTCCTCGGAACCCTCGGTTTTGGGCAATGGCATTACTAGATGATTGCGACCTAAAATTCGGTATATTGGTTCAGGTGGTTCAATATCCACAACGGATGTCAGCTTCGCCCAAAAGGCTTCATGTTGGTCAGTGGGACCAGCGAGAGTGAGATCATCTACATAGGTGGAAAGCAACAACTTAGTATCTGGGAAAAAGAAGTTACCAGGGTATTCAGGTACCTCTTGGCCACCTAGGTTGCGGATAATTTTCTGTAAGTGCTGCTCCCAAAGGCCACCGGCGTCAGGATGACCGTATAAGGCTTTAACTAGGAGGACTACGGGTTTAACGAACTTATCTCGCCAGTGTTTTGGTCTTAGCTCAGGCGGGAGTTCTATCCAGGTCTTGTATTTTGAAGACAGGAGTGCTTGAACGTAAGCCTTAACAGCATCAGCTGCGGATGAGCTATTACCTGGCAGGGAACCGTATGCCAAACACGCGTTCAAACCTTGGACCGAAGTCGGGTTTGCCCCTAGCTCCTGGTAGACCGCTGCAGCACCATGTTCATCCTTTGCGCAGTCGCCTCGATAGACGATCCTGCCCTTCATCTTTTGCAGATGCTGCGCAAGCTCGAAGAATTTAATGGATGCTATGGTCATGAGCTGCCCGAAATGAACGGACACTCCTGTGCGCTTGGCCTCGGCGCGTACATCTTCCTTTTCCCGAACGGAATCAAGTGACCACGTTCCTGCCTTGATGAGTCCATCGGCCTCGGCTTTAACGGCATCAAGGGCTTGGGGGTTGGATAACATCTCGGCCTAGAAAGCAACTTAGTTACCATGGCTTGAACCTCTTGGGAGGGTTCATTGTTATCTTCATGCCCGAAGGCTTGTGACAACAAACGCTCATGGTCTAGAAGCTCCGACACTAAGCAGTTTACTGTTGGATCCGTTTCAATGGCAACTGCAAGATCCTCAAAACCAGCTAGTGGGGACACATGTTTGAGATGTTGTTCAACTTCGCGGTGCTCTTGGGGTTCGGTTGAAAGTGGAGCGCATGGCATTGCGGGAGCATGTTGTTGGGAACACTTAGCAGGGTACAGCGCTTGAGTAATCAAAAATGCCATCTCTGGGGGATACATAGCTGATCGCGCCGTTTCCGAACCTTCACACTTTTCATGTGGTTGTTCACAACTGCACTTTTTATGTTTAAAAACATCTACTATTCTTTGGGAAGTGGTTCGGACTCTCCAAGGCTTTTTGATGGGAATACCCTTCTTGGATTTAAGACCTACTGCACAACCATCGAAATCAACTTCCATAAACTCAGGGTGAGAATTAAAGAAAGCTACGACATCTGGTCTCTTCCAGCCAGTTGAGGGACGTGGCCATTCAAAAGAAACAGTGCCTCCTAGTTTCAAAACTAACTCTGCCCTTTTTGAAAAGCTTTTGAAAAGTCGTTTCGATTCTCGGAGTTGGAGCGCTAATCTTTTCATGTAAGCAGCTCCTCCCTTCTGTCTATTGATATACTGCCAAGGTGAACCAGACGTGCATGGTATGGACGACCAAAGATTAGGTGGTGCAACTTTTGAGGCTTCACCTATTTGATAATCAAGTTGGGAACATTGATTCTCATCACTTAAGTCTATCCTTTCCTTGCATAACCCAATGTGATTTATGTTACATTGTTCACTTGTCAACCCAAGCTGTGAGTTGAGGGAACATGCAAACTCAAACAGTGTTGATCTTTCATTGGATCTCTGGCTTTTCTTCAAGGCACGTCGTTTACGACGGTTATTGTTATTCTTAGGAGGCTGATTAGCTGCGGGGCATGCAGGCACGGGCTGTGCACCGAACACTGGCAAGGAATCCCTACTTAGCTCAGCACGGCTGGGAGCGGTCTGGGGCAAAGTGGCAGCACCAGAGACACTATAAGGAACGGCAATTGCGATTTCACCTTCATCATCAAATATGCCGTCTTCCGGTGGTGGTCCCACGGGGGCATCCTCAAGCGCACTGGGAACTTCGCTAGGAGGTTCGACAACTACCGACTCTGATATGGGCTTTGACTTGGCTTCCAGCTCCTTTTCTTCATCAACTAGTTTCTGGAACCGTTTGCGGCACTCTGCATTATGGTACCGAGTCTTGTTCTTACACCCTGTACAACCGTGAGTCTCCTTAAACTTTATGATGCGGTCTAAGGTGATATAAACCGATCTAGGTTTGGGACCGGGTGTAGATGGGGAAGCTAAACCGCCATCTGGTGGAAACGGAACATTTTGCAGGGCTATTTCAGGAAGTTTAACATCATCGGGATCATCCCCCCTGATTAAGGCCTGATGCTTCGAAAAACCAACGGGAAAATAGGCATCACCATCTGGAAGGTATAGTTCAGGCTCGGGTACATCGGAAACACATGAAGCACCTCTAGTTCGAAACTCTTGATAATCTAATATCCGAACAACATATCTATAACGAAAACCAGAATCGATTCGCCAACCAAGAAACAAACCAGGAGCCATGTTGGGTTCTAAGGTCCTTTTTGTTGGATGCTTCTTGCGATAGTACACAAGTTGACCAAAACACAAACGCTTACCATCAAACTTTTCACGTGTAAGAGCTTGCCATTGGGTCTTTTCAGGGTCCACAATAGAAGGTCTATCGAAAGTCATGGAAAGGCATGCGTATGGGTAACTGTAAGTGTGGTACTCATAAGGCAAACCAGATTGTAAATGAACAACCCTGCAACACTCCTTCTCTTCCCGGATGTCGCGCTCTAGGAGAGCGTTGTGCGGCCAACTGTTGGGAAGGGACGTCTCAGGAACGAAGCCGACCTGATGGGCAGCCTGCTCCAATTCCTGTGCTTCGTCCATTTTGATAAGTGTGTGGGTGGCAAGTTCATTGGCTTTCAATCCCACGAAATGTCGAAAGTTTTTGGCATGGGATTCAACATCTCTTTTTGATAGGGGATATGCTATTCGTGCACCAGAGTAAATGTCCCTAACCACATGGTGTGTTTTAACCCCACCTATCCCCGTACCAAAGTGCTCAGACCCTTTTGCAAGGATAACATCATCAGTGGCCAATTGCTCAAAAGGTTGTTTTGGTGGATCAATCTTATCATCGGACTTACCATCCTTAACATGAGAGACCCGCATTGCAGTATCCTTAGCAATATGGCATAATGGGCAATATGGATTTTTGGGGTAGTGAGTCAAAAGATGCTCTAAGCTAGTGGCTTCCTTTTTCAAGACTTCATCTTTGATTGGGATACCATCACCTAACTCAACAAGCAACTTATCATCTAAAGGGTGCGGTGGCGCGCTAGGAGCAGCACCTTCCGGTACACTTGCATGTGGGCTGCTGGATGCAGCTGCATCTTTTGGATCATCGGCCTCAGCAACTTCGTCAAGTCGTGCGACATCTTGACCTGCAAAACTAGGTGAATATCCAGAATCCTCATCCGGCAAAGGATCAGCTGGAAGGGCTGTGGAAACTGGGGTTAA